ACATAGCTAGATCTTATCTCCAAGAAAATTAAGAAAAGTAGCCAGGCATGGTGGCACACACCTATAGTCCTAGCTACTCAGTAGACTGATGTTGGAGGATTGCTTGAGCCCAGGAGTTTGAGGCTGCAGTGAACTATGCTTGCATCACTGCATTCTAGCCTGAGTGACAGAGTAAGACCCTGTCTCTAAGAAAAAAGAAACACACACACACACACTGAATATATATAATAAAAATCCACAAGCTCATAATGAATGAAAACAAGAGCTGGGTGCTGGGTGAGGTGGCTCACGCACCTGTAATCCTAGCACTTTGGGAGGCCGAGGCAGGGGAATCACTTAAGTGAGTTCAGGAGTTCAAGACCAGCCTGGCCAACATGGTGAAACCCCATCTCTACAAAAATACAAAGATGAGCTAGGCATTGTGCTATGCACCTGTAGTCCCAGCTACAGGAAGCTGAGGTTGGAGGATCACTTGAACCTGGGAGTTTGAGGCTGCAGTGAGCTGTGATTGTACCACTGCACTCTAGCATGGGTGACAGAGGAAGACTCTGTCTCCCCAAAAAAAATTAAATAAATAAAACAAATTAATACTCATCCGTCACTATTGGAGAATATTTTTCACACTCTCTACTCTGAAAACCAATTAAAGGGAAATAAATATTCTGCCTTTTCAGTGAAAACTGTAGTTCAGTATAATCAAATAGTCCCACTTGCAGAAGGAAAGTTCTTTACGGAAAATATGCCAGTTGATGGTGGAGAACTAGACATTCCTCAAAGGATCACTCCTGATCAGAAGGGGAAAACTTCACAGTGAGATCTTGTTGGTGCCACCTTAACCTAGTTAGTAAACTTAGCCTTACTTATAATGGAACAATGAGACAATATGCCTCCACTGTGATGCAATTTACAGTACATGGGATCACCTCTTAAAGTATTCTTTTTTTTTTTTTTTTGAGACAGAGTCTTGCTCTGTCACCCAGACTGGAGTGCAGTGGCCGGATCTCAGCTCACTGCAAACTCCTCCTCTCGGGTTCACGCCATTCTCCTGCCTCAGCCTCCCGAGTAGCTGGGACTACAGGCACCCGCCACCACGCCCGGCTAGTTTTTTGTATTTTTTAGTAGAGACAGGGTTTCACTGTGTTAGCCAGGATGGTCTCGATCTCCTGACCTTGTGATCCGCCCGTCTCGGCCTCCCAAAGTGCTGGGATTACAGGCTTGAGCCACCGCGCCCGGCCTTCTTAAAGTATTCTTAACAAAATTATTTAAAATAAATCAGCTAAGTTAGATCTAATTTCCAGTTAATAGGAAATACAAGGGATAGTGAAATAAGTTAAATGATTTTATGTGGAAACAATCAGACAAGTCCAGAATGTGGGACATGACCTTCTGAAAAGACAACTGGCCTGTTCTTTCTTCTTTTCTCTCTCTTTTTTTTTTTTTTTTGAGATGGAGTCTTTCTTTGTTGCCCAGGCTGGAGTGCAGTGGCATGATCTTGGCTCACTGCAACCTCCACCTCCTAGGTTCAAGGTTCAAGTGATTCTCCTGCGTCAGCCTCCCGAGTAGCTGGGATTACAGGTCCCACACCATGCCCAGCTAATTTTTGTATTTTTAATATAAATGGGGTTTCTCCATATTGGCCAGGCTGGTCTCAAATTCCTGACCTCAAGCAATCTACCCACCTCGGCCTCCCAAAGTGCTGGGATTACAGGCATGAGCCACCATGCCTGGCCTTCTTTTCAAAAAGTTACTATGGGCTGGGGATGGTGGCTCACACCTGTAATCCTAACACTTTGGAAGGCTGAGGCGGGCAGATTGCTTGAGCCCAGGAGTTCAAGATAAGCCTAGGCAACATGGTAAAACCCATCTCATCTCTACTAAAATACAAAAAATTAGCCAGGAGTGGTGGCATGTGCCTGAGTCCCAGCTACTCAAGGGGCTGTGGTGTGATGATCGCTTGAGCCAAGAGGTAAAGACTGCAGTGAGCTGGCCAGGCGCGGTGCAGATCACAAGGTCAGGAGATCGAGACCATCCTGGCTAACATGGTGAAACCCTGTCTCTACTAAAAATACGAAAAAAAATAACCAGGGCTGTGGCGGGCACCTGTAGTCCGAGCTACTCAGGAGGCTGAGACAGGAGAATGGCATGAACCCGGGATGCGGAGCTTGCAGTGAGCCGAGATCGCGCCACTGCACTCCAGCCTGGGTGACAGTGAGACCCTGTCTCAAAAAAGTTACTATGAAAAAAAGGAGGCCGGCGCGGTGGCTCAAGCCTGTAATCCCAGCACTTTGGGAGGCCGAGACGGGGCAGATCACGAGAGTCAGGAGATTGAGACCATCCTGGCTATACAGGGTGAACCCCGTCTCTACTAAAAAATACAAAAAGCTAGCCGGGCGAGGTGGCGGGCCGCCTGTAGTCTCAGCTACTCGGGGAGGCTGAGGCAGGAGAATGGCTGAACCCGGAGGCGGAGCTTGCAGTGAGCTGAGATCCCGCCACTGCACTCCAGCCTGGGACAGAGCGAGACTCCGTCTCAAAAAATAATAATAATAATAAAAAAAAGAAAAAAAAAAAGAAAAAAAGGAGAGGCTGCACTATTCTAGATTTAAAAGAGGCTTCAAAGACATAAGATGCAGTGGCATGGTTCATGTTTGGATGTTTTATAAATGACTTTGGGGAATAATTGGGAAATTTTGAATATGGGACTGGATATTGAATAATACTAGGGAATAATTTTAATTTTGTTAGCTTGGTTAATGGTGTTTGGCTATGTTGGAAAAATTCTGTTGTATGGTATATCTTTCCTTGTTTTTTTTTTTTTTGTTTTTTTTTTTTTTTTTTTGAGATAGAGTCTCTCTGTTTGCCCTTGGTGGAGTGCAGTGGCACCAATCTCTGCTCACTGTACAACTTCTGCCTCCTGGTTCAAGTGATCCTCGTGCCTCAGCCTCCCAAGTAGCTGGGGTTACAGTCATGTACCACCGACACCCAGCTAATTTTTTTTCTTTTCTTTTTTTTTTTTTTTTGGAGACAGAGTTTTGCTCTATCGCCTAGGGCTGG